AATTACAATTGTGGAGGTTATAATTATTAGGATCTTTATAGTTTAGGTGGGAAGCAGTAGAACAAAGGAGTCCAGGTGCAACAAAGTTTTATTCGTGTGAACTTTCGTGTGCACGCACACTTCCTCAGGCACTGGGGAAGTGTGCATGCAATGACGCACAGGAAAGCTCGCACCTTGAATGAAACGTTGTTGATCCTTATTGCCGTTGATGATGATGATGGTTGCTATGGCCGTCGCTAGCCTACCTCACAGGGCGGTGGCTGGTATTACAAAAAATCCTGCAGCGAGAAAGCGCCGACCGACGCACTTTTGGAAATGGTAACAAGATATTGCCAACATCCAGCTGTGATGGCCGAGTGGTTAAGGCGTTGGACTTGAAATCCAATGGGGATTCCCTGCGTAGGTTCGAATCCTGCTCACAGCGAATCTTTTGTCCCCGGGCCAGGCCTCGAGATCTTCCTTCCCAGATGTGGACAGCGGCAGGAGACGGTCGATACGCGCGACAGCGCCTTACCCAGCCCCTGCCCGGGCCACGTCGGTGCTGCCCTGTGCGCTGCCGCTCTCAGCCTTCCCATTGCCTCCAATTAGGAGCAAGACGGATACCCCCACCATCACCCCCACCCCCCAGTGAAGTTTCGGCCACGAGTTTCTTGGCGTCCTAAAAACCCGAGGCGCCTTTTGGTGCAGCGTCTCGGTGCAGCAACCACATGCAGGCAAGAAGAGAGTGCAAACGTCGGGATGCAACATTTTCAAAGCTGATCAGGGCTCCGCGGTCCTTCTGTGAACCGAGTTCACTCCTGTTACGGGATCGGAGTTCTGCTGAAGCCTTTTGTGCTGGAAGGAAGTCGTGTCAGTCATTTAAAAAACAACAACACCACCGCAAGGCAGACTGCGGGTTCTTTTTCTTGCCACAGACTCCTCCGGCTTCGCCTGTCTCTAATTCGACGTGGCTGCAGGGCGGTTTTCTGGAGACCACCTCCCCCAGTTCCCTCCTCAGTCCCGCGGGGGGGTCCCGCGGGGGGGGGCTCCAAATGACAAGGGACGTTTACAAAGCAGGATCCTTCCCCCCCCAACTCCCCCCCCCCAAATTCTCTCTTTCTCCCTTTTGCCAAACGCAACGTGGAGCACGGCGACTCAACTTGTAAGCGAGGAGCAGCCCCCAAAAAAAAAAGTGGAGATGCCGGGGATTGAACCCGGGACCTCATACATGCGAAGCATGCGCTCTACCACTGAGCTACATCCCCTTCTTACGTTTTCACGTCTCATGTGTCAGTATTGTACTTCACGTTCCCACTTCCGGGTGATCTGCGGCCTCAAGTTTCGGTTTGCACATGGGTCGCGTTTCCAAATTAAAGCAAAGGGGGATCGAAAGGCGGTCGGAGCTCCAGAGCTCGGGCAGGAGCGATTTCCCCCAACATACCAGGAATAACCAAGAGCGATGCTCCCTCGCCGTGGAGTCTTGTGAGCCAAAAGTTCTACTTTGTGAGCTACTGGCATTAAAGTGGTGAGCGAGCCATTTGGCTATATTGCATAAATTAGTTTGCCCTGGAGCCGTCCCTTCCTGAGCGAAGACAAAAATGGGTGAGCCGGAGGCTAAAAAACTGGGAGCCAGCTCACACTAACTCAGCTTAGAGGGAACACTGACCAAAAGGCTGGGGGACAGAGGGGTGGCACTTTAAAAAAAACAAACTACCAGGCTTTATTCAGGTGGGTCGGTCCGAAGCAACGGAATAAAGCTGGAGACCAGTGGCACCAAGTTTAATTCTGGGTAGAAGCTTTCATGTGTGCAGGCACACTTCTTCAGAGACCACACCTCTTCAAATGCACACGAAACCTCCTGGCCGGAATTAAACTTTGTTGGTCTCAAAGGTGCCACTGGACTCCAAATTTGTTCTATCAAGTTTTATGGTGGCAGAAGTTCTCTCTTGGCCTGATGCATGAAGGATTACATCCAGTATGCAAAGAGATGTATGCACAACGATATGCACTGAACTACACAGAAGTGGGAGCAATTTAAGGTTGCCAACTACAGGTTGGAAATGGCCTGGAGATCCCCTGCCATAGAGGCCACTCAACCAAAGCACCCCTTTTCTCCAGAGGAACTTATGCTCCCTGTGGCCTGGATATCAGTTGTGATTCCGGGAGATCTCCAGGCCCCGCCTGGAGGCTAGCAACCCAAATTACAGAGAGGACGCGGCATGTGCCATTTTACACACGGTCCCTCTCCGAGTGGGTGCCACACACCCGCCCTGAGCATAACGTCCAAAATCCAAACAGGGCAATGATACATCCCTTCCCCGGCTTTCTGACTGCAACCCCAGCAGTTCAGCTGCAAAGAAACAGGTTGCTTCTGAGCCGGTGCAGAGTGCCTGCGCTGCGCGCAAAGGCAGCCTGCTTTCCGGCGTCCTTGTCGAGGCTTCTTTCTCTCGCCTTTGCGATTTGTACAGCCGCCAACCGTTTCCCTGTCTGAGCCTCTTCTCCCTAGCAGTCTCCCTATCGTGGGAAAGAGAGGAAAGGCAGGCCGCGTTCCTGCATCTATACATACTGAGAGGAGAGCCGTCAGAAAGGGTTTGCCAAGTGGCGCCGTGGCTTAGTTGGTTAAAGCGCCTGTCTAGTAAACAGGAGATCCTGGGTTCGAATCCCAGCGGTGCCTCGTTTTGAACTCGCAATTTTTATTTACAGCCTGAAGCATCTTGCTTTCGGCTTCTTCCGTTTTTTTCTTGTTTTAACCAATACAACCCGGGGGGTGGGGGGGGAGGCGGGAATCCTGTACTTCTAACATACAGGAACAACTGCTGTCCGCCTTCGATCTCCATTGCAAAGGGGTGTGTGCGGGAGAGGTTTCTCCGCGTTTGTTTTAGGGTTTTTTTGCATTCTGTCCGATGCTTTTTTTTTTTTTTTTTGCAGTTCTGCGGGAATCAGCCGCGGGAAGAACGAAAAATCAATGCGTGGTCGTTGTGTTTTAAACCCCCTGCCCCATCAGCACCTAGCAGGCTGATCCAAGCTTCCTCCAGCATCATAGTTCCTGCAAACTGCCGCCAGAAAGGCATGCCGTTCCCCACCCCACCACCAACCCACAGATTTTCTACATAAACACAATTCGTACAATCGGAAGGAGGAGGCACAGATGCCTGGGCATCGATGTGTCTGTAATTTGTCTGGTCTGTTCAGTGGCGATGTGGAAAGGAAAAAAGAAAGTAAAATCCAAAGGGAGTGAAAAAGTATAGTTGCATTGGCCGGGAATCGAACCCGGGCCTCCCGCGTGGCAGGCGAGAATTCTACCACTGAACCACCAATGCGCCCATATAAAATTTTGCTTCCAAGGCGTGTATGTAAGACTATCAATAATGTGATCACGTTCAAAAATAAAGAGAATCACTCCAATGGGTTTTTGTTTTTGTAAATCCCTGTTTTATTACTGAATATATATATATATATATTTTGACAAACACATTTCCCCCACACACACACACCACTGGCCATCTGAGGCTATCAACTGCCTTCCGCCTGCTCTTGTGTGCATGTCTCTATCTCTGGGATGCCGCAGATGGTTTTGTTACAAGGGACTAGCCCCTCTGCATGTGCCCCCACCCCAGGATAGATCACAGTGCAGCCCTTTCAAGACCCTTTCAAGACTGATGCTTTTGCACTGCTTCGGCCAAAGTACCCGGGTTGATGGCGCATCAGTGCAGACCCTCAGGTTCGCACAGGGGGCGGCTGTGGGGCAGGAGGGGAGCCGGGGTATGTTAGTTGCAACCCATGCATATGTTAGCATGGCAGGGTTATTCATCCCAGAACGCTGAGCATGAACTATCATGAACTGTGAAAGATGCCCCTTAGCAATCCTTCTGAGGTGCACGTTGGGCCAGTTCCCACACTGTTGGTTTTCCTTCTACTTGATGAGTGTGAATGGACTGGACTCCAAGGAATAGCCCTTGCTTGGGGCAATATGAGAGGCCATGCACGCATGCAGGTCATCCAGCAGCAAAACATCCATGCACACCTGTCTGAACCAGCCCAGAACTGAGCATCAACCACTCTTAAAATAAGGCATTTATTTAAAACAAAAAACAAAACAAAACCATACCACTGTTCCAAAGTCTTTTTAGTCTCTTTTTAAAACCCATCCGTTGCTCATTTCAAAAAGAGCCAGCATCCATAGCATGTTGCCTTTCCAAAACAGCCCCCGCTCTACAAAAATATACAGAAATTCAGAAGACCAAAAAACAAACCACAATAAAAACAAACAAACCTCGTCATTCATTTATCACGATACACACTGGAGCTGCCAATTCCAGGTGGGGAAATGTCTGGAGATTTTGCAGCTTGGGTAGGGACCTCAGCAGGTTATCATGCCACAAAGTTCACCCTCAAAAGCCGCCATTTCCTCCAGGGGAACTGATTTCCATAACCTGGAGATGAATTGTAATTCTGGGAGAGCTCCAGACCCCGCCTGGAAGTTGGCAACCCTAACACACACACACATGCACACACACACACACACATGCACACACACAGACTACACACACATTGTTGGATTAAGGTTCTCCTTGCTTCAGGGTTCCACATTTAAAGTCTAGGTTCATTTGACTGGCACACGCTCTGCAAGATGTCAAGGGGAGATTTTTTTAAAAAATCCGTCTTCTTGCTAATACAGACAAGAAAAACCAAGCACTTTCCCCACCACCACCACCACCACCCTCAAAAAGAAAAAGGGAAAGGAAAGACCAACACTTTGGTCGGATAAAAACCCGTAATATACAATATATAGAGAATCTACATATGCCATTTACAAGGGAATAACAAGGAAAGGGCTTTGTTCAAGGCCACGGCCTCCAGACGTTCAGCGCTTGTGGAGACTGTACCGCAGAATTCTGTGTTTCGGAGAGTTTGTTCTGTTGCGACCGGGCGCAGCCGTCTTGCTGGGCCGGGCCAGAGCTCCGGGCTTGGAGTCCTTGGCTGGCAGAGTAACTGGCCGGGGGCGGGTGCAGGACGTATGCCGGGCCGCCCCCGAGAGGCGGGCTGCACCCAGCAAACACATCCGGACTATACCGCTCATAGGTGGGGTTGGGAGCTGCCGGCGGAGGCCGGTGCACCTCTCTCCGGGGGCTGGCAGCAATCTTCTCCATGCAGTGGCAGATGTGCTCCATCAGGTAGGCCTTTTTGCCCGTGCAGATGCCCGGGCTGGCTCGCAGGAAGTGGGTGGCCTGGGTGAGGCACTCCCGGTAGCCACTGTGGTACTTCTGCAAAAGGGCATCCTCTTTGTGCTTAGTTGCTGTGGTATATTCAACGACAATAAAAAGAGAAAGCGACTTTTTAGTTGGACGCTTGTCAAGAGACCCCTCTCCAGCATCTCTGACCCCCAGGACCACGAAGCACTTAAGCTGTTCTACGGCTAACGTCTTCCCCAGTTTTGGCCCTGTTTTTCCTGAATTGCCTAAATTTGAATCCCCGCTCTGCTACGGAAGCTCGCTGGGTGACCATGGGCCAGTCACACACTCTCAGCCTCACCTACCTCCCAGGAATAAAGTTAGAGTCCAGTGGCACCTTTAAGACCAACAAAGTTTTATTCAAGGTGATGCACAAATCTGTGCCCCGTGTGATCCCGTGGCCTGATTGGAATCACAGAGTCAAACGAGTTAGATGAATATCTGTTTATTTGCAATTAAAACAGGGAATACAGGGCTGAGTACCTTAGCACTTCAGCAATTCCAAAACTGTATTCCGCCATAACCAGGAAGGCAGAAGGTCTTAGACCCCAAATGACATCACATATAGTTTACACATTAAAGAATCTCTAATTAATACCATGCAGTTAACGTCACACAAGCATCATTTGACTTTACACCTTACTATTGGTCTTTCCTTATACTGGTCATGTATGTCATTGATTGCATTTACTTATCTGGTCTCCGGGACAATGGGAACATTAGAGAACACTGGGTTCCTTTCTGACCTGCATATGGAGAGCTAGCTGATAAGGGCTGTGAATCACAGCCCTTCGCTCTTGGCATCCTTGCAGCTTGCGCATTCCACTCCTATTGCATCCTAATTCCATCTCCAAAAGCTTCTTATACAAAAAAAATGCAGTTATAAAATATGTGTTCTGCTATAAGTTTCTCTAATCAGAAGATCTCTAGGTCACATACCAAAATCTGAATCTATTATGGTTAAACTTTTGACGGCACCGTGACAGCTGTCAATATATATCAAGGAGAGAGCGTGTCAGAAATCACATTCAGAAATCACATTCTTTTCCCCTTGTCCTACAAAGGTGTGAGCTTTCAGGTGCACCTTGCACCAAGCTCACACCTTGAATAAAGCTTTGTTGGTCTTAAAAGTGCCACTGGACTCTTTGTTCTACTGCTTCAACGTGACTGCCCATCCGGTTCTACCTCACAGGGTTGTTGTGAAAATAAAACGGAGAAGGACGTGAGCCGCTCTGGGTCCCCATTGAGGAGAAAGGCAGGATAGAAATAAAGTTAACAATAATAAATATACCAGCATTGACGCCCGCCCCCGCCCCCAACCCACCCCCAAGCAGGGCATCTTTAACAGCTGCACGAGAAGCAGAAATGCAAGAAAAGCACCAGTTACAACTCCAGACTGGGACAACTCTCTAAAAAAACCTGCTGAAGAAGTTTGGATCATTCATCACACAGCGGGGGAGGTGGGGTAGCAGTGTTCCCTCTAAGATGAGTTAGTGTGAGCTAGCTCACAGTTTTTTAGCCTCCAGCTCACAGATTTTTGTCTTGGCTCGGGAAGGAGGGCTCCAGAGCAAACTAATTTATGCAGTAGCCAAATCAGTCGCTCACAGCTTTAATGCCAGTAGCTCACAAAGTAGAGTTTTTGCTCACAAGACTCCACAGCTTAGAGGGAACATTGGTAGCAGGCCCACTTCTGATTTCACCCCACCACTGCAACCCTCAGGGCTGCTGCGCCTCTAACCTGATTGCATTCTTTGCCCAGAGGACCCTGGGAAATGTAGTTCAAGCTGGCGGCTCTCAGGCACAGAACTACGATTCCCAGAAGTCTTTGTCACCTTAAGAACGGAAAACTCTGTAGCCGGTGCGACCCAGCCTTCCCTAGAGCAGGGAGGTAGAATACCTTACCTTAGAGCAGCCCTATGTAGAGTTGCCAACCTCCAGGTGGGTCCTGGAGACCTCCCGAAATTACAACTGATTTCCAGGTGACAGAGATCAGTTCCGCTGGAGAAAATGGATGCTGTAGAGGGTCAGCTCTCTGGCATCACATCCCTGCCGAGGTCCCTCCCCTTCCCCAAACCACGCCCTCCCAAGGCTCCACCCCCAAATCTCCAGGAAGGTCCCAACCCAGAGGTGGCAACCCTATGCCATCAGAGTACCTCCCCCCCCCCCATTGGTCCCCTTACTCTCCTGTTTTCTCTAAAAATGGGCCCAAACTCACCAATCAACACACAGCTCTCCATAATTTGACTGAAAGGTTAATTTGGCCCTAACCCTACCAATGTTCCCCCTAAGCTGAGTTCGTGCGAGCTAGCTCACAGTATTTTAGCCTCCGGCTCACAGCTTTTTGTCTCTGCTCAGGAAGGATGGGGCTCCAGAGCAAACTAATTGATGCAGCAGCCAAATCGCCCACTCACAACTTTAATGCCAGTAGCTCACAAAGTAGAATTTCTGCTCACAGGACTCCACAGCTTAGAGGGAACATTGACCGTAACCCATATATAAAACCATTTTAAATTGCTCCAAGTGTCCATTTATCCCTGCCGGCTCCCCCACACACCCCGGAAAATATCCTGTGCCACCGCCATCCTGTTGCCATGGCTTGGAAGAGTAGCCTGGTGTGCGGAAATCAGTGGATGAACATTTTCATGGTACAGAAAGCGACGCAGCCAGCGAATACCTTCCACTCAAGGCACAGGAAATATGAGCAAGTCTACAGTTCAGCATTCCCCCCCTCCCCCGTCAGTGAACATAATTTTGTGGCTCCTCAAAGACAAATTCATTGTGAACCAGACTTTGTGAGTCATAACTCACCTCATCAGATTCACAGGGACCCAGTTCTGTCCCCCCCACCCCAGGGCATCTGCCACCCGAAAGTCACTAGTTTTAAGACACCCCCCCCCCCAGGACTGCTGTTTTGACTGCAAATGACCCAGTAGGGTCATCCCTATGGAATTTCCCATCGCTGTGCCTAAGCCAAGAGAAAAGGTTGAAGCAAAGGATCCTCAGTGCTCCAAAAGTTGGCAACCCTGGAAAAAAGTTGCCCTAAGTTTTGGGCAGGGACCTGTGCCAAACTGTTAGCATGTGCTGTCCCAACATGTGGATTAAATATGTGCTGTAGCCAGGGCTCCTTCCTTCCTTCCTTCCTTCCTTCCTTCCTTCCTTCCTTCCTTCCTAAAAAGAAGTGCTGGAAACTCTCAACAGAGAAATGAAGTTTTCAATCTGTGTACTGAAAACTCATTAACTTTTAAACATTTTAAAAAGAATTTTGTTGAAGAGGTACCAGGACTCCTTTTAAAAAGAATTGTGTCGAAGAGGTACCAGAACTCCATTCCGGCACATTCCCCCAGAAAAAAAGCCTTGGCTGTAACCACTTCGGTGTAAGTGTTTAGGAGTGCAAATTCTAATCTGGGAGAACCGGGTTTGATTCCCCACACCTCCACATGCAGCTGCTGGTGTGACCTTGGGTTTATCTAATCCAGTTGTTTGGCAGGTTCCAGGGCTCTGGAAAAATGTGGAGCGGTTATTCAGCCACACAGAATGACACGGAACCCTCCGGCGCATGTATACATGCGAAGTTGACTTACCCCGTATTGCAAAACATTTGAGGTGGCATTTAAAGAAACCTCAAGCGACACGGTGGAAGGAGGATTTGTTTGGAACGGATGGGGGCAGGAAGGGAGAGAGAAAAGAGAGAAAAGAAATACATAGATAAGCATTTCTTGCTGGAGTTGATGTGATGTTGAGGGGGGAGAGGGATAAAGTGAGGCAGGAGGCCAAGCGTGGGGGGAGATGGGTTTACTTTACCAGGGGCTGGCCCACACTGCAAGCCCATCAGCAGGATAGGGTCCATTTTTGTCTCGTATGGGTGTAAGGGGGTCTGTACTGGGCCAGAGAAATGCTGCACAGACCCTGAAACAAGAGGAGTGTGGTGTGTGTGGGGGGGGTTTAAAGTCTCCCTGTTGAACTGGCAGGTTCCTGTGCCTTTAAACAGCTGCTGCAGGACATCCACCACAGGTATCCACCACACATGCCAAGAAAAGCAGCTTTGCCTGTTGAGTTTCCACCTGCCGGGCAGCCGTTAAAGGTTACAGGAACCCTGCCAAGAAAAAAGAAGACATGGCTAATCCTCTTCAGGAAATCCGTGCAGATGCCATTGCAAAGAAATAAAACAAATCCATGCAAGAGAGTCACGACCCTTCCTTCCTAGATGCAAGCAAAGTAGCCAAAACAATATGATAGATGGGGGTTTAAAGGGGGGGCCAAGAAGAGCAGTGGGTATGCTGGGAACGGGTGTGTGTGCGTGGGCCTCTTTACACACACACACAGGCATCACACTGACAAACACACACAGCCTTTGACTTGCCCCAGTCTCTTGCCAAGGACTAACAGCACCTCTGACCTTTGCAGCTGCAGGGAGATGAATTCAACAGGTGAAGCTTCACCCACGGGTTTCTGCCTGCTCAGAAAGACACACCAACTGTGTCTGTGGGCCCCTTCTGCCTGCCCCAGAAATACCAGGTGGGCTGAAAATCTGTGCTGTTTCGGCTGTTGTTCCTGAGACTACCGATCTATCTAGTGCATCATGCTGCTTCTCACAAAAGCCATCCACAGGCTTCCAAAAAGCTCCCATGCACAGTTTGCAGTCCCCACCAGTGTTCCCTCTAAGCTGAGTTAGTGTGAGCTAGCTCACAGTTTTTTTAGCCTCCAGCTCACACATTGTTGTCTTAGCTCAGGAAGAATGGCTCCAGAGCAAACTAATTTATGCAGGAGCCAAATCACTTGCTCACAACTTTAATGCCAAACGTAGAATTTTTGCTCACAGAACTCCACAGCTTAGAGGGAGCATTGGTCCCCACCCCTGACGATGTGGCCATAGATAGGGATAAATGAAATTGTGTAAGCCGCTCAGAGACCCCTCGGGGTTTGAGCGGGATACAAGTCGAAAGCATAAATAAAATATAAATAAACAAATCTATCCAACCATGCTTATCCCCAATGCTCCGTGGTACATGTCTGAACATGGAGGATCCATTTAGACACTCACTGACAGACTCCTCCGTGAATTTATCCTACGGATTTGAACAAGCCAAAGGGCTAAGTGAACAAAGAGTTGAAGATATTGAGCAACAATCTGGTATCTCTAAGGCTTCAAAACTTGGGGTGTTGCTAAACATCGAAAGCACCATTGAGCCAGCTACATATTTGACTTCAGTGGAGGGAAGGAACTCTAGAAGGGCATTTGGCCTAGCCAGATGTTCTGCCCTTCCATCTGCAGTTATTCAAGGCAGGTACAATAAAAACCTCTACCCTGAAAGGCTATGTTCATGCACTTCATGTGAGGTTAAATCAGTAGAGCATATGTTTTCCAGTCGCCCATTCTACAGAGAGGCTCGTCTTAAAATCATTACCCCATTAGTTGATAGGATACCTGGTCACATCAATACAAACAAAGCAAGACTTCACTGGCTTCTATCAGCTAAGAATGCAGGGGTTAAGAACATAAGAACATAAGAGACGCCAATGTTGGATCAGGCCAAAGGCCCATCCAGTCCAACACTCTGTGTCACACAGTGGCCAGAAATACCAGTGCCATCAGGAGGTCCACCAGTGGGGCCAGGACACTAGGAGCCCTCCCACTGTTGACCCCCCCCCCCCAAGCACCAAGAAGACAGAGCATCACTTGCCCCAGAGCCCCTATCTATACCTTGTGGCTAATAGCCACTGATGGACCTCGGCTCCATATGCTTATCTAATTCCCTTTTGAAGCCGTCCATGCTTGTAGCCGCCACCACTTCCTGTGGCAGTGAATTCCATGTGATTACACATTCAGTTGCTGAGTTCTGTGCATTGATCCTTAGACTGCGGGAGTCACATTTTAAAAGTTCTTAAATTTAGATTTGTATTCTGTATATTATTTCTGTTTTTTTCCTTCTTTCTCATATTATGTTTATATTGTATGCTGGTCTTGACTGTAATAATAAACTAAACTAAACTATCGAAACCATTTGAGAACATCTCTTAAGCTAGTGGCCGTGAGTCCCACCAGTCAGTGAGGCACTCCACACCCTGAGTTGCCAACAGGCCTGGAGAAAAAAAACCGACGAGTTGTCCTTTTAATAGAGGGTTAATGTACGGAAATGAGCGCAGAAGGATTTCCCAGGCGATGGAGGTAAATGAGATCATTTGATTAATAATATCCTATGAAGCCTCTATTAAAGGGATGGGACGTTTCCCCCCACCCCTCTCTTGACACAAAGAAATAATAAATGCCTTCAGTCGGGGCCCTACGGTATTGGCACTCGGTTGTAAGTAAAGAAGCCACAGGCCTAGAATGTTTGCTCGGAAGAATGGAGGTTTTGACCACACGCCTGTCAGAAGTGCAAGATGGGGAAAGGGGAGGTACAGAAGAATTCAGAGGGGTGGGGGTGGGGGGGAGCCCCATGGTTTGTGGCAGTGGCTACCCAGCAGTGCGCTGAGGAACCCTGTGGCTCTCGAGGGAAAGACAGCCGGCCAGTTGCTTGCCTCTGCTCTTACCTTCCAATGTGCAACCTAGGAATGCCAACCTCCAGGTGGGGCCTGGAGATCTCCCAGCTTTGCAACTGATCTCCAGATTACAGAGATCAGTTCCCCTGGAGGAAACGGCTGCTTTGGAGGGTGGAGTCTGTGGCATTAGACCCCCCCCCCCAAGATCCTTTCCTCTCCCCAACCCCTGCCCTCCCCCCACTCTCCAGGAGTTTCCCAACCCAGAGCTGGGA